AAACAAAATCAGAGGGCCCCACTACCCAAATCTGCATAGATAGGTCAAGTGCATTCAAAAATCTTTTTTTTTTTGGTCTTTTTGAGACAGGGTCTTGCTATGCAGTTCAGGCTGGCCTTGAGCTCACTTTGTAGCCCAGGGTGGTCTTGAACTCACAACGATCCTCCTGCCCCAGCCTCCCGAGTGCTGGGCTTACAGGCGTGCGCCACCACGCCCAGCCCAGAAATCTCATCTGTGGAAATTCTGTTGTGGACTTCTCTGAAATGGATTTTTATTTATTTTTGCAGTACCGGGGATTGAACCTAAGGCCTTCACATGGAGCTACATTTGTAGCTGTTTCCTTTATTTTTCATTTTGCGACCGGGTCTCTCTAGGTTGCTAAATTCCCCCGGCTGGTTTGAATTTATGATTTTCCCATCTCAGCCTCCCAGAATGCCAGAATTACAGCCATGCACCACCATGTTGAGCTCAGTTCTCTTATTTTCTTATCCCATTTTCCACCATTGTCTTTTACTTTCTGAGGTATTTCCACTTTGCCTTATCTCTCCTTCCAGGCTTTTCATTTCTGCAGCCATTTAAATTGAGGAATTTTGTTTATACAGATTTTCCTTTTAAAGCTTCCTCTTTTATTAATTCAAGACTCTATCTCCAAAGCCATCAACTCTAGCTTTTTCATGCACTGATAATTCTTTGAGGGGAGTTGTGCGTTTGCTTTCAGTTTGACATGCTCATGACAAAGAGTTCCATCGAGTGCCCAGTGTCCTTACATCTCTATTCCTATTAGAAAGGTCCTCAGGCTGAGTGGAACTGTGGGACGAGCTTGCCAGTGACGGCCTTCTGTTGGATGAGCATGCAGAAATCTGGCCATTTCAACAGGTGACCTCAGCTATCAGATCTGCATATCTCAGGCGGAGGAATGTAGCTTAGTTCTAGAATGCATGCTTAGCATGCGTAAGGCTCTCGGTTCAACCCTGAGCATGCACAAAAAGATCTACAGATCTTTTTTTATGGTACGGTTAGTTTCCTGAAGTTATCCTTTGATCTGGGAGATTTATCCTAACTTTCTTCCATTCTCTGGGCAGAGTACAGGAACAAGAATAGGTTTTTCATGTTAAGTAAGTGAAATATGTAGTGTGATTTAAAGAGTATAGTAAAAGTATAAAATATTTTAAAAGTATTATAGGAAAAGACATATTGCTATGAATCGTTTTCAGAATACTCTTCTTCCCTTCTAACACACTGACCTCTTCCTTTTTCTTTTCTTTTTTCTTTCTTTTTTTTTTTTTTTTTTTTTTTGTCTTTTTGAGAGGGGGTCTTGCTATGCAGTTCAGGCTGGCCTTGAGCTCACTTTGTAGTCCAGGCTGGTCTCAAACTCATAACGATCCTCCTGCCTCAGCCTCCTGACTGCTAGGATTACAGACGTGCGCCACCACGCCCAGCTACCCCATCATTCTTGTCACTGTCTGAAGCAGTTCTGGAAATTCTCTTTCATGAGTATCTTTAGTAGTGCTGTCATGGCTGCCTCAGTGTCCTGAATCAATTCAAAATGTTTACTTTTTGTGGTCTTTTTGACTTTGGGGAAGAGCCAGAAGTTTCGTGGTGCCAGATCTAGTGAATAAGGTAGATGAGGACATGTGTAATGTTTTTCTTCGACAGAAATTACAGTAAACCTAAACTGTGAGCTGTTTCAGAAATGGCAGCAATGATATAATGAGTATGTTCAAAAATAGAGTATTTTGAGGGGGATTAATAGCAATGTGTCTTTTACTGTAATAATTTTTAAAAATGTAAACATTCACCATATTTCTGACCGCATCTCATATTCATTTATTCTTTGCATTCGGTATCACCCTTTGTGCTTGGTGTCCACCAAGTTACAGTACCCTCCTAGGAGGCCTCCAAGCCTTTAGGCTATGGCTAAAAATACAATAAAATTAAGTTTTCACATTACACTAATGGTAAATATTACATTAACTGATATCAAGTGGTAGATATGCTTTTAAGTTCTGTAAAGTAGTTGAGGGCCAGGATTCACCCCTCAGGTCTGCCAGAGCTCCTGCTGTGTGTGTGTGTGTGTGTGTGTGTGCACGCACACGCGCGTGTGCACGCACGCACACAGAAACCCCATTGTGCTCAGCAGGAGTATCTTTAGTAGTGCTGTCATGGCTAAATTTTGCCAACATCCAGGAATATGGCAAAAACTCAAAAATTTTACAATTCAGTCAGTTCTCTGGGACAGGACACAACTAGTAATGTTTTTTTTTTTGTTGTTTTTTTTTTGGTTTTTCTCCGGTACAGCTAGTAATGTTTTAAACAAGCTTTCCAGGAGTATTTGAGGTCAAATATTTGGGACAAAACTTTTAAATCAGATGAAGTTCCTGCCCTCAAGTGGTTTATAACACACACAAACACTGAAAAACCAAACTACTACAACTCCAGTTATTTAAACCCAAAAGATGCGTTCTGTCAAGACAGAAACATATACTATGTAAAATTTCAAATTAAAAATGTAAAAATATACTACGTAAGTCCCAGCTATGTGAGGGCTGAAGCAGGAGAATCATTTGAGCTTAGGAGTTTGGGGCCAGTCCAGACAACATAGCAAGATTCCATCTCAAAAAAACAAAAATAATAACATATATACGCTGTAGATAATGTATAATATAAATACACATTATGTGTTTATTATGAACACATGCTATTTATTTATACATTATATATAACATTAAAAATGAAAGAAATTATATCATTCCAACACAACAACATTGATGCTCACATTTCCCCTTTTAGTTTGAGCCTACGTACACATATATTTTTACACTTGACTGTAGCCAAAAGGCTGAGAAGCAATACACA